CACACACACACACACACACACACACACACACACACACACACACACACGAGGGTAACACAGACCTGCTAGTCCAAGGGGCCCTTTGTTTCTTCAGAGGAAAGTGTACCTCTGACATTTCATTTCTGCCATGAAGCGGACACCCGCAGGCTGGTGGTGTTGAGGGATGACGGGCTTGCTGAACTGGGACCCAGTGCCAGGACAGCCAGTATCCATTGAGTAACCAAGCACATGGCTGGTAGCCCAAGCAGGTCCTTTAGCTAGTAGTAAGCTGGGGATATTATAAGGGAAAAATAGATGCTGGGAACTTGTTTAAAGCCCGTGGCTAACCTGGCTGGGACCTGGACTTCTCAGTCATCCTTGGCCCTGTGGGGTGAGGAGTAGCCCATGCTTCCCAGCAGATGGTGGGTGCAGTCTAAAGCACTAAGTTAAGGTTCCATGCTGCTGAAAGGGACCACAGCCAGTGTCTAGTTGGAGCTATCTTGCTGAACAGATGGAGAAACTGGAGCTCTGAGTTAGCATCAAGCTAGCGATAACCTGACATACTTTACTTCTTGTCCTCCAGTCCCTCTCTTGAAGAGTTTCTGATAATTAATAGAAAGGCTAGAAGTAAGGGCGCAGCTACAGGGGGAAGGCAGGAGAGCTGAGGCAGAGCTTGGTCCGAGCAGGCTAAGGGTTCTGCAGTAAGAGGAGTAGGGGAGAAGAATGGCCAGGGCCTCCCACCCTGAAATTGGCCCAATGATGAGCAGCTTTAATGGTGGAAAGGGTCTCCAAGAGCTCCCTTCCTTTGCTCCATCTGCTGTTTTGTGTGGCTGATGAGGAAAATAATTTCACCTCTGCAAGGGTGATCGGACCCAGTGAGACCATTGGGCCTCAGTGGTTTGTATTACTTTGTTTAATTTCTCTCTGACCTGCAGTCAGGTCTTTTAGTTTGTATTGTTGCTTCAGGGCTTCCTTGCTTGGATGAGAACTGAACAGAAGGATCCTGTTCCCACGGGATATCTTTCACCATGGGTGCATACAGTTTCTCATACCCCATTGTCTAGGAATAAATCAGCACTTGGCCAGGGAAGGTTTGTGCAAGCTCATGTCTTCCGGAACCAGGCCACAGCCTGTGCCCTGGATGGCTTTCTCTATCCCTGTGCCTACTTTCTTTCAGATGAGAGCCCACTGCTCTTCCTGGAGCTTGCAGGCCAACTAGGAACCTTTTTACAGGGGTCATTCTTTCCACACAGCAGAGAGAGTGCTGGGAGCCTGCTTGGAAATAAGAGGCTCCAGGAAAAGCCCACACAGTGAACCACCCCTACCCTCTGGAATGGGGCTGGCAGAGGGCACCCGCAGCTCACCATGTCTTTGATCTGGCAGTGCCCATAGCTGAAGACGATGGCATTGGGGGGGTTGCCCACAGGCAACATCACAGCAAAGGAGATAGACATGGTGACCGGGACCAGGGTGTAGAGTGGATTGATGTGCAGTGTTTCAGACTAGAAGAGAGAATTCACAGTGCTGTTAAGTTGGAGAATAGGTTAGCATTTTCCTGCGCATGAGTGTGCTCTGATGATGGCTTGGTGATGAACACCATATTCTGGGGCTAGTTAGTCCCCTGCCTCTGGGCACGCAATGTTTTTGGCAACTCAAAAGGGCCGAAACCCTAAGGCTATTCCAAAGATGGATATTTGAGCTTTGAGAGGGAGGGGACATCTTTTTGAAGTGGTTCTTGAAGTTAATTCTTCAGCTGAGAGATCATTTAAAAAAAAAAAAAAAAAAACCTCACACATAAGCAGCTTTAATTGAAGCAAGAATCCGTCACCCTGGGGTATAAATCTGAGGGACTGCCCCCGCCATGGAAGGTAGTTTAATTGCTCTCTTTGGGATTTGAGCCCATGGCTTTCCATATGGCTGTGTTTTAAGAAAATGGTCTTGAAGGGCATGGTGGTGCATGTCTTTAATTCCAGTACTCCTCCCAGTACGGGAAGGTAGAAGCAGGTAAATCTCTTGAGTTCAAGGCCAGCCTGGTCTACCTAGAGATTTCCAGGACAGCTAGGGTTACATGGAGAAACTGTCTTGAATAACCAAAAAGAGGAAGAAGAAGGAGGAGGAGGAGGAGGAGGAGGAGGAGGAGGA